AGGCATTGTTCATTAGGACGAAGGTTCTTTTTTATTTTTATTATTTTCTTTTATTTGAGCCAAGTCATTTTATACATCTTTTAATTATATTTTTTTTTTAAATTTGAACAAACAAATTAGTTTAGTCAATTCCCCCTCTCTTTATCTATATCGTCAAGTGATTTAAATAGTTTCAACGTATTTATTTATAATTGCGTCAACTGATTTAAGTCAATTGAAATGAAGAAGCGAGCATATCAACACTTGAATAGTAGCATAAGAAAAGACAAGAAACTTCTAAGTAAAATTGCGGAGGGTATTTTGTACAAATTCAGTACAATTGACCTTAAATCCCTATTTCAAATAATACTACATTTTAGAAACTTTTTTTCAAATTTGTCCCATTAAATTTTTTATACTATAAAAGTAACCACAATTTTCTCAACACAATTTTCTCTATTTATTATTTTTTTAACAAATGAAGAAATTCCAATAATCCGGGTTATTATATTTCCTTGCACCAAAAGGCGAAATATCTCGCCCCCAAAGCCCCCATCCCTTGGCCCGACACGGATTGATGGAAGAATATAATAATCAAGGTTATTATATTTCCTAATTTTATTAGATTTGATTTAATGATTTATAATAAAAACTAGAATTTTATTTGGTGACCAAATTTATTAAACCAAATCCTAATTTTAGTGACCAAATTCTTTATACCAAATCCATCAAAAAAACAAAGAAATTACACAAAATTCAAGAAGGATCCAAAAATAAATAAAATAAACAATAGTTTGAAAAGGACAAGGAGATCCAAAAGCAAGTGTGAGTGTGTGTAGAGTCTTAAAGATTTATCACCTCTCTCTCTCTACCTCTCTCTCTCTCTCTCTCTGCCTTTTCACTTTAATTCTTTTTCCCTTTCATTCAATCAATCCACCTGCCCCCACCACCATTTACCACCCCCCATGTGTGAACACACACCACCTCCACCCCCGCCCCCGCCTATATATATATATATATAGACGTGTATGTATATGTATATATAAGTCTGCCCATGAGAGAGGAGATCTCTTTGTTAATCAGGTGTGATCATCACTCACTGAGATTTACCCACTATGAATCAAAGAATATAGGAGTAAAATAACGTGACCAAATAATAAAACTGAAACAAATGGTGTGATTTTTTGATTTATCCCCCTGCAGTGGGTTTTTATGCAATTCTCTGCAGTGAGACTTTGCTCCTGCAATTAGAACAAGATGAAGGAGAAGATGGGTTTTTTGTGTTTTGTTGCTCTCGCCATTTTCTTCAACTCAAGCTTCGTTCTTTGCCACCCTACAGATCCTCTCAAGACCATTTTAGGTTGGGTTTTTTTTTTATATATTTTTTTTAAATTATTTATTTATTTATTTAAATAAAATAAAAAAATTCCGAATTGTGATGCTTTGTTCTTGGGGATTGTTTGGGGGCTGTGATATATAATATGATGCTTTATTTTTAATTCTTATTCTTGAAAATTATTAATGTGTATGCCTTTCTTGGCAGATACGGCTTCCTCTATTTTTTTCTTTTCCATTTTATGCTTGTTGTTTATAGTAATTGAATTTTAATTGGGTTATCTTGAAATGGGAATACAGTTAAATCTTATCGATTCTTTGCGAAATCGAATTTCTCGATTATGGTAGTTTAATTTTGGATTACATGCTGATTGTATGGAGTTTTTGGATTTTCTTGATTTCTGTCCTTATTGTAGAGTATTTGCTTTTTGTTTATGTCATTTGTTTTTATTTTATTTATTTTTAAATCGAACAATTGAATCAATGTATGTAGGAGAGGAAAACATGGGATCCTGGAGGGATAACATACTAAGTTCTAACGGCGAAGAAGCACCGAGTCCTGCTAATATTATAAGCACGCTTTTATTGGCGCAGAATCGAACGAATAGGCCCGACATTCTGTCGAAGTTTCGTAAATACCGAGGTGGATGGGACATTGCCGATAAACATTACTGGGCAGTTAAGCTCTAATTCTTCTTCTCTTCGATTCACTACTCGGTTTTTTTTTTTTTTTCTTCTGTGTAACGCTATTTCTCGAAATTTATATTGACCGTCGTAGCTACACAGTCTGTTGGATTTACAGGTGCTGCAGCTTTTGTTCTCGCCGTATTATGGTTCACGTCTTTCGGTTTGGCTCTTGCGGTGCATTATCTTTGCGGTTGGAAAATCAAATTCAACGGCCAAGAATCGAGATGGTCGCTGCGGATTTGTCTCTCGCTCCTTGTTTTGTTTACCGTCGCCGCATCGTAATAATCTAAAAACTCAAATAAAATCCCGATTTTTTTTTAAGTAATTTTGCGAATTGACTGTTCGATTAAAAAAATTGGTCAACAGGGTTGGGTGTATTCTGCTGTCTGTAGGGCAAGTAAATTTCACGGACAAACATTGGACACTCTGAATTACGTAGTGAATCAGTCGGAGTTCACTGTGCAGACACTTAGAAACGTAACGGGATATTTGTCAATCGCAAAAACCGTTAGCGTGGCCCAAATTTTCCTTCCGTCGGATGTGAAGGACGATATTGACCGATTAAATGTTGACTTAAATAATGCGGCGGATATGTTGGAGCAGAAGACTGATCAGAACTCGATCCAAATACGGAACGTCTTCGATACTGTGTATGATCTTAATCTTATGACGTAATTAGGACTATTTTCGAATCGATTATTTTTGCACGTGTCTTTTTAGTGTATTAATTGCATTTTGCGTTATTATTATTGTAGGAGATCTGCACTGATTATTGTAGCGGCAGTGATGCTTCTCGTATCTATTCTCGGTCTCGGTATGTATCATCTGTACTCTGTAGAACACGTTTTTTTGTCGGTTAATTGGATTTCGTTCTTGCCTTCATTTTTTAGCTGACAGGTGTCTACGTTTTCCATTACAGCACTCTCCATCTTTGGCCATCAGCACGCGATACACATGTCAGTGCCGATTTTTTTTTTTTTTATATTAATTCCAGGTTAAACAAAATGCAATCTCTCAATATTCTAATTAATGATATATTCGTGCAGATTCATAATCAGCGGGTGGCTACTTGTAGCAGCCACGTTCGTTCTTTGTGGATTTTTCATTATTCTGGACAAGTAAGATTTACTTTTTTTTTATATAGATAAGTTTTATTTTATGGCATCAGTATTAAAAAAAAAGTATCAAAAAAAATGCGTCTTTAATTTTACGTGTTTTAGCGCGATATCTGACACGTGCATGGCGATGGGAGAATGGGTGGAAAATCCTCAGGCAGAAACTGCATTGAGTAACATTCTGCCATGCGTGGACCAGAGAACGACAAATCAGACGCTGTTCAAGAGCAAACAAGTTATCAACGATATTGTAAACATCGTCAACGGATTTGTGGGGTCCGTTGCCAACTCGAACCCATCTCCACAGCCTAGTCCGAGTTACTACAATCAATCTGGACCGTTGATTCCTCCACTCTGCTACCCCTACGATTCCCAGCTGCAAGATCGTGTTTGCTCGGATCAAGAACTCTCTATGGACAACGCTTCCCTGGTAAGCAATTATGCATGCCTTCATCGTGTTTTTTCGACTTATTGTGAAATTATGTCAAGAACCCTAATAAAATTGCAAATATCGGAACGAGGCCTAACGAAATATAAAAATAAAAAAAACGAATCTTTTTAATGGATACAGGTTTGGCAAAACTATACTTGCATAGTATCAGCGTACGAGATATGCAGCAGGGTAGGGAGGCTGACACCCAACATGTACACGCAATTAGTCGGTGCGGTAAACGTTAGTTACGCGCTCGAACACTACGCGCCACTTTTACTCAATCTTCAAAACTGCAATTTCGTACGCGATACCTTCCGGAACATTACCTCGAGCTACTGCCCACCATTGGAGCACTATCTTCGTATTCTAAACGCTGGATTGGGACTCGTCTCGGTGGGGGTTATGCTCAGCCTCGCTATATGGTTACTTTACGCAAACCGCCCCCAAAGGGAGGAGGTGTTTGCTAAGCTGTCTTCTCGGATAAGAGCCAGCTGTACAAGTGATATTAATACAGTGTCTGCAAGTGCAACTCCAGTTTAGTTGACGATCTTTTTAAGACCCTTTACAGTAGGATAGATTTTTATACCGGTGTTATTCGATACGAAAGTAGTAGTTGTTATAGTGTTGATGCATGAAGTATGTGTCTCCGTTTTTTTTTTTTTTGGCCGAACTTGAAGTGGGGGCGAAGCCCCGTCTCATGTTATGTGCTGCTCGATGTTGTACTATTGAATTTTGTGATATATATAAAGTAATCAGTTTTTCGGTCTTCGATGGTTTTTTTTATCAATACTTTTTCTGCATTTTATATGAATGATTAAAATTGGATTTATTCTAAATTTATGTAATCCTAAGACACTACATATTATTTGAAAAAAATAAAATAATAATGGACTTTAATAACAAAAGTGTGTTGCATAAACAATAGTGATATTTATCAATGCAGAAAGTCTTTGATTGGGTCATCGTGATGAACCCTCTTCATCCTGTAAGCTTCCATATCTTCGGCCGTAACTTCATCCTTCCACTTTACGTTATATTTCCGTTTTCTTTCATCTCTCTCTTGGTTCTTGTTTCGATCCTCCTTCTCGAGCGCTTCAGCCAATTTTTTCTGGTTCAAAACTAAATCATCAGGTACTTGACTTCCCCAAGTCGCAGCTCTTATTATCTCATCGTTATCACTCGCAGTAGTTGCTGCTTGGTTCGATTCTATTTTCCGATGCACATTAGCTTTCGTAACATCTGAAGCAGCCGCTTCAATACCAGCATCACCAGTACAGTAGGTGTTTCTCAATGTTTGATGGCAACAATTGTAGCCCCATCGACCATCTTTCCACCACGAACCCCATATACTCGAATGATTGTTTACGCACACATCTTCTTCGTACTTGCTCTTTGCAATACGAATTATCGCGCCCTGTTTTACAACCCTACCCGCTCGATCGTACTCGAGCTCGACCTCCGTTTGTCCCAACAACAATTCCCGAGGAAGAACAACTTCTCGATCATCAGTATTAGCAGCAGCATTCCCATATTTCTTCAAGATTGCAGCTTTCGTAGCATTTTGCGACTTCAATTTCTCCTTATTAATCTTAAAATTCCTGTAAAGCAATTCAGCCTGCGAGGGAGCACCCTGCACATCAACAACATGATCAAGCCCCATTTTGTCGAACACTTCCCGGGCATGAAAATTCAGTTGTTTGAACTCCAAAGCTTGACCGGTGGCCCTGTTCCCGTTATCTCCCGCGTAGAATTTCTCGTTAGGATCCATATCCGGCAGAGGATCCTCCCTCATGGATCGGGTTTTCGGGTCGTAATGCGCCGAATTCAAATCCAAATTAAGCAGATATTTAGCAGTATCTTCTCTAATTCTTAAATTCCTAACAGTCCCTGTACTACCACCGCCGGTGGTGCGCACGCGCTTCTCCACCTTCCCGAAATCCACCTGTTTGCTATCACCTACTTTCAGAGAGTCTTCTTCTTCTTCTCCTCCGCCTTTTTCGTGATCCAATTTCTGAAGGCGCTGATTGTGCAAATACTTACTCCGGGCTTCTCCGCGGGCCTCGTGCATCCTGACAACCTGTTTGTAATCGGCGGCGGGGTCGAAATTCTTCCAGGGGTCTCGTTTGGCGGCGTAACTATCGGAGTTGTTTGTGCTCCGATCGGAATTGTTGTTCTTCCAATTTTTCTGGTGCTTGAGAGTGGGTTTGTTTGCGTTCAAATACCACGGCACGGTGGACACGTACAGCGGGATGTGCGGGTTGATTTCTTTCCCATCTTCGTCGAGTTCGGCCGGTTCGATTCCGGCTTTGCGCGCCTCCTCTAATTCCTGCTTTTGCCTCCGAGATCTAAACGACGCCGTACTTGACATGCTTCGTTGTGAAAAACGAAGATGAACAAATAGAGAGAGAGAAAGAAGAGATAGAAAGGGCTGCGTTTAGAGAATAATGGTTTCTGAAGAATATAGGAGCGCGGGTTTATATAATACTCGGAGTCGGCGATTATTAGGAAATTAATTGGGTAAATTACAAACACCCCCTGAGGTATGGTCAAATTACAAAAACACCCCTCTTGTTTGGATAATTACAACCACCCCCTCAGCTCCACAAATTTAGTGGAATCTTCGACATTATATGGAATATTATCACTTTTGTACCCATTTTATCCCATTCAAATTCTACATTATGAAGCATGATGATCATAATATGTGATTTTTAGCTTTTTTATATCAGTTTGTGGTGCATCAAAATCTGTATTTTTCGCACAAAATGAGTACAAACTAGTGCACATTTCACGGAATCTAGATGACTATGTTGAATTTGGCACCATAAAGGTGGAGGTCTTAGAAAAAATCATAGTTGAGGGGTAGATGTAATTATCCAGACAAGAGAGGGGGTTTTTGTAATTTGACCATACCTTAGGGGGTGTTTGTAATTTACCCTTAGGAAATTAATTAACCTTCTTCTGTCAGGAAAAGGACAATTTTCAAATTTCTGTAATTCCTCTTAACCCTAATTTTCATTAATAAATTAAGGAATTAAATAAAATACAAAACCCTAGTTTTCAAAAATAATTCTGAATAATTTCCTTTTTTCCGGAAACTATTATATATTATTAATTATACTAGTAATCTACGGCAAGTATAATTTAAAAAAATATAATATAAATTTTGAATGACCTGGTCTAGCATGGAAATTAAACTGTAGGAGAAGCATTACTAATGCCCTAACAACCAATGGCTTGTTCTTAATGACTTTGCATTATCTGCAAATGATGGCATAAACATTATTCGTTATTTATTAGAGGAGGATAGCCAAAAAATTATTGAAAGAATAAATAATTAACGAAAAACATTAAACTTGGAAGAAATTCCACTCTAAATTCCTAACATTAAGAAAAGGAAAAAAAAAAACACTATTTGGGGTTCGAGTCCCCCCTCCCATACTTCCCCTTGTAATGGACTTGAATTTACTCAAAAAAAAAAAAAAAAAAAAAAACTATATAAATAAGTAAGAATAATAATCATCAATTTTACCATAATGATGTCAACCAATTTTACGGTTTGCAGAAGTACTCTATCTTGAGGGCTATATGCCAAATATCCTTTATTGGGATTTTAATTCTTGATAAATCATTTATTTATAAATGATATTTGAGATAAATTCAATGGGCCTGAAAAACCATATATGCCCTCACTAACTATTAATTAGTATAATTATTTAATTTAAAAAAAAATATACCCACAATCTACACCCAAATCTTCACCAAAAATTATTCCCCATATCACGCCAATTCAGTTTTTTTTCCTTTTCTTTTTTATTTTTTTAATGGTTTTGTTTATTTCGATTTAAAAGAAAATTTTGTAATTATTTTATTTTTTTTCGGTTTTTTATTTGTAATTATTTTTTTTATTTATATTTTCCATGTTTTTTTTATTTTAATTAAAAAAAATGGTTTTATTTTTATTTTCGTTTTTCATGGTTTTTCTTTCTTTTTTTTTTAATTTCAATTTTTAAATTTTTTTTTTTTTATTTTCTTATATTTTTTAATATAAACATGAAACCACTCTGTATAACAACTACATAACATTAAAACCACTAAATTTATCGAAAACCACTATGAAATTAAAGTAAAAATTAATATAAAACAAGCATAATCCACATTAAAATAACGTAATCCACTATTAAATTAGTGTAATCTACTGTTACATAAGTGTAATCTGTTAATCCAAAACCACTATTAGAAAACATATCAAAGACAAAAGCCTAATATTATGTAAACCACTCCGTATAAACAACTATATAACCATGAAAACCACTCTGTATAAAACAACTATATAAACATGAAAACCACTTTATATACACAACTATATAAAAACATCGAAAATCACTATGATATCTAACAAGAAAACATCAAAAATTCTGCGAAAAAAATCTATTAAACCACTATACAGGACACCATCTTCTCTCCAATGACCCTAGGCATAGTCGTCTAATCTTCTTCTCGTTATTTGGAACCACGTAAACCACTTATTTGAAAAACCATCATC